TCTCTCTGAGCTGTCTTACTATTTTTACAACATCGTGGGGTGGGTTTGTTGTTAGTTCTTGTTTGGATTAGGAGAAAGAATCATTCCTTTCCCAGTACTGCCTTACATATTATCAGAGAAGGTAAGAAATTCATTTTATGCTGTATTTTCAGCCAAGACTTGTGAGAACAAGAATACAGACAGGAGAACGGCAAGACAGATGTTTTGTCTAAGAACAGTTCTAATAGAGTCAGCCTCTTTGAGCATCTTCCTCATTTTCTTTAGGTGATGTTACCTCTTTTTTTTTGATCCTTAATAGTTCTGCAGTGGTGATGACTGGTAAAAAAAATTGTAAGTCTGCCCCAATATTGACATTTTGGTGCTAGATGAATGCTACCTACATACTATTTGCTTTGATGTAAGGCTGAGGTTTCATTGATCCTTCCTTCTGCCATTTTAAAAATGCATTAAATATCTTTACTATTTTTATGGCATGTAAGGACACTACGACTCAGCAAAGTTGTCTTTTTATGCTTTGCCTGTAGAGGTCCTACAGTAAAGAGCTCTTTGAGGAGGTTATCTCCAAGATGAGGAAGGCTGGAATCAAGTCTACCATAGCAATAGAGAAATTCAAACTGCTGGCAGAGAAAGTGGAGGAGATTGTTGCCAAGAATGCCCGTGCAGAGATTGATTACAGCGATGCTCCGGATGAATTCAGAGGCAAGTGGAGTCTTCTAAACCCTGCCTGTCTAGGAGAGAGGGATTCTGTTTGTTGCACTGATTCCATATGTTAACAGAGACTATGTATTGTTTATGAAGCCTTGCATCTTGCTGTATTTCAGTGATGTAGTTAAGTAAATAGAGAGCTAAGAGTTCTTTTAGTTTTCCCTGGGATTGTGCTGTCCAGTCCTAGCCATGCTTTGCTAAACCCCCCCCCAACTGAAAACAGGGTGACAATAGGGAAAGCTTAGTCCCAGGTCAGAAAGGAGAAAGTGCTGTAAAGATTTGTGTGCATTTAACCATTTTCTGTGAGTCCAGCAGTGTCCTGGGGACCCTGAGCATGGCTGTGCACTGTGGCTCGATGGGCAGGTAACGTTTGCAGCTGTTTGCTCTCTTTACTGAGGAGACCCTTGTGCCCTCAGATCCCCTGATGGACACGCTGATGACCGACCCCGTGAGGCTGCCCTCGGGAACCATCATGGACAGGTCCATCATCCTGAGGCACCTGCTCAACTCCTCCACTGATCCTTTCAACCGGCAGACGCTGACGGAGAACATGCTGGAACCAGGTGCGGGGGACAGCTGGTGCCCACCTGGAGTGTGGGTGGGGGCAGGCCTGACGTGGACAGCACAGTGCTGAGGCCTTGCTAGAGCTGACAGTTCTTGCATTTCAGCTTGCACAGAAAAGTTCATTCCCTCTGCTTTCCCTTTTTCCAGGGGGAAAAAGCCCTCCCACCCTTGCTTTCTTAACTACTGGGCTGAAAAACATTATGGTGTACAAATGGGAAATAGCTATTGGTCGTGAGGGACTGTCTTACAGTACTATTACCAAGTATTTAATCATTCTTTTTTTTCTCTTTTTTTTTTTTTTTTTTTACCTTCCTAGTGCCAGAACTGAAAGAGCAGATCCAAGCCTGGATGAGAGACAAGCAGAATGACCATTGAAATTGCCTTGCAGTGCAGCCCCCAGCCCTGGGAGAGCAGGGCTTTGTGCAGGAGGGCAGCAGAGGCCCTCGGAGCTGTTGGTGCATTGGCACGCCCAGGCACTGACCCTCAGCGGTGACACAGGAGCATGCGGACGAGGAGAAAGCAGCTTCATTCTTGTACATATATTTAAGTGATAACGATGGTCAATAACACGGAGGACAAGCTAGGAAGTTACTTATGTTACAAAACTGTCCTTCAGTATGTCACATTTTGGAGTTTTTACAGCTGAATTGTTTTAGCAAAGACGAATGGATCAGGGCAGCATCCCTTCACCCTTGTTTTTTACCGCCAGATATCCGTTCATTTGATTGTGGTTAGAACCTTGGACATTTTGCTGCTAAAGTAACTTTTTTCTCTTTCCCTTCCTTTCTTTCTGTTCCACCCATCAAACCTGCACTGCTGTCTTTTTCTTCTGTAATGCAAAAAAATACAAACCCTGTGAAAATCAGAAATCATTCCCCTGCCCTCAAAAGAACATATTTTGTGCGATAACTGTGCCTGCAACAAAGTGTTCATCTTGGGATCGTATTTTTATATTACACATATTTGCCTATTTGGTTTTTAATTGGTGTTAGACACAAGGATAATTTCAAAAAAGCGAAGACTCCACACGTGGATTTTAATTTCCTTTCCTTGAGATGTCCCTTTCCTTTGTGTTGATCAAGATGCTCTGGTACTTGTGAAAAGCCTTGAGATAGAAATATGTTAAAACAGCTGCCATGAATGAGATGCTTGGGAATACCAGGATTTCAGTGACTTTAAAGAAACTAAAATACATTCTTTCAATGCTGCAGATCAATGCTAACTGACAGTTCTGAGCCATTGGAGCTTGTCCACAGAGAGCAGATACTTTTATCCTTGGAGGCTGCAGTTTGGGGCAGGGGTCATTTTTTATGTTGCTTACCAATTTGTATCCATGGCTTGGCCTTACCAAAGCAGAAAGGGTGCAGGAAATGTAGAATTACGTTTTTAAAAAAAAAAAAATACTCACAAACATTTTTATATTACTGCCCCCTGCATATGATACTTGAATTTCCTTTTTAAAAAGGATTGGAAACCACAGTGTTTTAAAATTAAGTTGGAAAAAAAAAGGTTGTTTTCTTTTATTTGTTTTTCGCCATGTCTTCTGTTCAATTCCTGACTCTCTTGAACTACAATAAATGATACACTCGCACAGAATGTTTCCTTGGTCCTTCTTGTAAGAGTGTCAGAGAAGATATGAAAATGACAACAGATTGGGTGTCTTTGTCCAGGTTTGCTGATAGTGATTTAGGATAACCTAGTAAATGATGTGGACAATCTCTGTGCACACAGATACCAGTAATCCTTTAAACTCAAGAATGTTCCCAAGCAGGTGCCACTGAGGACCCGTTCAGAGCTCCCTGACAGCTCCAGGGGAATTCTGGTGACTTTGTACAGAATCCAGCATGCACCTCTCAGGTGTGCAAATAATTCTAAATTAGAAAATGTGAAGGTGCAGTTGTGGGCTGTATTCTTTGTTTGTTGTGGGTTTTCCAGTGGTGCTTCCTCTTACAGCATGAATGTGCATTTCTTCCCTGCAAGGATGGGAGAAGAGTCCAAAGCTGCTGTCTGCGTTGACTGCTGCAACAGAGAAGCTGTTTGTGGCTTTTATGGTTATAACCTTTACTGCTTGCACAAATTCAAATCCCCCTCTCCTTTCCCTTCAGTAAGGCACAGACCAAAGCCTGCTCTGCTTCTTCCTGCAGGCTCCCAGCCAAGCACCAAACCCAGCACAGATTCTGACGTGTCACAGGTCGTGCCGAGCTGTGTGTTTTCTTCTTTAGTTTTTTAATTTTTTAAAAGAGGTAGTTTCTTTCTATATAAAGAAAAATTCTTACATGTAACTGTTCCCTCATTATTGAGGATTTTTGCATGAAATCTCTAGGAACACCCCAGAGTTTATACTTGTTTTTGATGAAGGACAGCTGTTCAGTAGTGAATGTGTTTTTACTGGAGGATGATTAAACTATGGCTTCACATTTTGGGTTCTTTTCTGCAAGTCACTGTCAAATATTGCTTCTATTGATAGATTATAAAGTGAAAGTTTTATAGTTTTGGGTTTTGCCAGGAGGAAACAGAAATACTCATGTTTTGGTGTGGGATGTTTTAATCAACACAATGCCCTTCAGAATCTGAATTTATATTTATTCTGCCATTGTGTCAGACTCTGACCTGAGGAATATAAATAGCAAAGTGCATTACTGAAATGTTTTGTCTAATTATGGCATACATCTATCATTTGAAAACATGTCAATGCAGATATTGCACAAGACACAAAGGCTTGACAGAAGTGGCCAAAACAATTTTATCTGGGCAACTGGTATCAAGTGTTTTAAAGGTGTGAGCTCAGACAAGTGTTCACCCAAATTCTGCATTTGTGAGCAGAATAATTAAATGTATTTTAATAAAGGCTGCTGAAGTGTCATTCTATTGTGTCTGGCCACAAAAGTGAATGAAACCCCTGTCTTTCAGTGGATAGTGGACATCTGAGTGCCTGAAAAGCAAAGCTGAAGCTGAATTAAAAATCAGTTTCCCAAAAAAGCATATGGGTTGTGTGACAATTCTTAGTTTAGTTAATTAAATGCTTCCTGCAGTTTTTGGTGCTTTCCCTTCCCCTCTCTAATACATCATTTACACCGTTTTCAATCCAACTGTAACCTCTCTGCAATACAGAGTTTGTAAACTATCAGTGGATATCAGCGCAGTTACCCCAAAACCACCGGGAAATCATCTGTCCCGTCACTAGATGTATTCAAGCTCTAATAATGTATTTTTTAGGACCCAGGAAAGTCCCCGATTTTTGGTTTGGTGTTTCTGTGGCAGTATTCCCCTAAGCCTCCTGTTCAGCCATGGATTGCTGCCTCTGTTGCCATAACTGCACATGAGACTGGCAAGGGGAAACAGTCACCTTCACCACACGAAGTAAAAAATAACTGTTCTGCCCAAGATCTGATCCTAAGGGGAACAGAAGGGACACGGCTGAGGTTAACATAGCCAATAGCCAGGAGGCTGTGAACAAAAATAAACCTTGTTCTGAAACTAGAAATCTCAGGTCCTGAATGTTCTCAGCATCTCAAATCCAATTTGTACGTGATGGTGTAAGAAACATGTAATGAGGGCATTTCATGTGAAGTGATTTCCTTTAAGGTGCTTAGAAGCTTAAACACGAACCAGTTTCTAACAGCAGGAATTACCAAATTACTAATGATAAGGAGGAAGTTAAAGCTGAATTATTGCCACAAAAATAAAAATTCCCGATGAGAACACGCATGAAATTATTGAAAGCATGAGGGTTAATACAGCATCGTGGACTAAATTTAATCATTTGCCTCAAAATACATCATGAGGTCTAAAAAAATTACTCGGGCTGCTCAAGAAACGTTCTGAAGGGAGGGAGGAAGGATTACCAACCCCTCAGGCCGAGTTTGGGATCCAAATCCCAGCGAACCTCAGGAGTCTGGAGCTGGGGAATTCGCTGCCTCAGAGAGCGCGTCCCCACAGCCGCTTTTATCCCGTTCTCCCGCGCTGTCCCGGCCGGTTTTATCCCGTTCTCCCGCGCTGTCCCGGCCGGTTTTATCCCGTTCTCCCGCGCTGTCCCGGCCGGTTTTATCCCGTTCTCCCGCACCTCCGCGCTCGGGACCCGCCGCCCCTCACGGCTCGGGGCGCGCACGGACACAGCGCGGCGGGCGGTGCTGCGGCCCCGCTCCCGATAGGCTCCGAGGGCGCAGACGTGATTTGCATCGCGGGTTCTGATTGGCTGGAGCTGGCGAGGGGCCGCCTCCCCGCGCCCCCGCTGCGCGGCGGAGGGCTCCGTTCGGAGGGCGGTGCCGCTGCGGCCGGGCACCGCCAGGCGGCGCTGGCGGCGCGGCCGGGCG